ATATACAACTAGAGTTTTATGTGATAGCCGCATACTAATGATACGGAACGGGAAGTTTCTATATAACGGTTGTGAGACCAACCTTACTTTATGGGGTACAAAAGATCATTTATGCCCCGATTTTTTTTTTTTTTAAGAAAAAAGGTTTTTTTGTTCCATTAAGGACACGAAGGGGTTAAATTGTAAAAATAAAACTCAAGGGTGAAGTTTATTTTCAAAATAAGAAAGAACTTTATTTTCCCCATTTCCTTCAAATTCGATATTTTTGTTCTCTCTCACTCGCTCAAGCTCTCATTTTCTCAACTCAAGCCTCATCCCTCTTAGGTGTGATTCGGGCCACCTTCAACAATGAAGTAATATTTACTACTTTAGAGTTTATAAAATAGAATACGAAAATATTCATAATAGCAACAAATTAAGAATCGCGTTTTCCAATTTTATTTTTTATATTTTGTTTTTGGTTTTAGATTTTAATTTTAGGTTTTTTTAAAGGGTCATTACAAAGGAAAAGTATACCAAGAGACCATTTACTTTTAGTACAAAGAGGTCACAACTATTTATGTCGATCAAATTTCAAATCATATGGTTATAAGTATATCTGTGACTAAACTCAATGCCCAACAATAAATTTCTTGAACTTTGTGACACACCCCAAGCCATCCAATTGGACATCTAATGATTAGGATTAATCGTGACCTCCTTGTACCAAAGATAGATGGTCTCATAGTACACAATCCTTTTTACAAATGGTAAAAGCCCCTCAAAATATTACTCAAAAATTTTTAAAAAAGGGAAAAACCTTATTAATTTTGGGGTTTTTGTTTTTTACATATAATACAAATAATAGAAATAAAAATAAAAATTAATAAATAATAAAAAAGAATAAATAACGTTGTTGTATTATTAATGAGTAATTTAGTATTTCTTTATTGCTTTAATAATTATATGAAAATGTATATAATTAGACCATTTACTTTTGATACAAGGATGTCACTATTATCATTGACCATTAGATTTGAAATAGGGTGGTTGAGGATGTGTCGTTGTTTGGGTATGAAGTCCAAAATAAAATTTATCGAATATATTGACAAACTTTCATCTATTAGATTTCACATCCAATGGCTAAAGGTGATTGTTATCTCCTTGATTCAAATATCAATGATCTTGTAGTATGGAATCCATATTTATATTTGTTTCTAATATTCTTTGAATTTTTTTTTAGTTTTTAGTTTTTTCAAAATTTTCTAGGGAAAATTACTAAAAAAAACCCCCAAAATGAGCTTTTTAAACCTTCACCCCCACCCTAATCTTTCTTTACTCCTTTTTTTAAAAAACCAACTTTCCTTACTAAACCCCCCCCCCCCCTCCCAACTGAAAAAGGTTTATTTTTTTTGTCAAAAATACCTCTTTCCGTACCTTGAACATGCGATCAAATCCTGCGGACGGATCCCAATTTCCATTAACACCGAACTGCGGTTATTATTTGTCGAAGTGCTTATGAGAAAACAATATGCCGGATTAAATATCTAAAATGCCGGACTGAAGTGCCTGTGTATCTAGGAAAAATATCGCTGGAGTGCTTCTTAGTATTGCCGGTGCACGTTTTTTAGATTCCGAACTGGCTATTAATAGTGAATCAATCTCCGGAGTGAATTCAAGAAAAGCGTGACTTTTTGTTTTGCATTTTACAGATGCCGGACTGCTTTTTTACAGTGAACTAATCTTTGGAGTGCTTTCTAATGTTGCCGGAGTGCATTTTACAGTGCCAGAGTGCTTATTTAACACTGAACATTCTTCGGAGTGCATTCAAAAAACGTCGGAGTGCTTCTTAGTTTTTCCGGTGCATGTTTTTAGATTCCGAACTACCTATTAACATTGAATCAATCTCCGGAACGGATTTAAGAAACCATGGAGTGATTTTTAATTTTGCTGGAGTGCTTTTTACAGGTGCCAGACTGATTTTTTACAGCAAACTAGTCTCCGGAGTGCTTTCAGAAAATGCCGAAGTGAATTTTAGTTTCGCCGGAGCGCGTTTCATATATGCTGGACTGTGATCTTCGGAGTGCGTTCAAAAAGTGTGGATCCCCCAAAAATGCTCCAAGTTCTTGGTTTGTTCCTTCATTCTTTGTTTGCTATAAATATTGGTTTTCTTTCACCAAACAACCTTCTTTCTCTGTCTAGAAAACATGTGCTGTGTGAAATCTCTCTCTCTCTAGAATACTTCTATTGTGTGAAATCTCTATCTTTTTCTCTTTCTAGAGTACCTCTATTGTGTAAAATATCCATCTCTCTCTAAAATACCTCTATATTACGTAAAGTCTCCCTCTGACTGTCTCAAACACAAACACAAACACACACTCTCTCCTCTCCTCTCTCTCTAGAATACTTCTATATTGGGTTGGAATTTCCTCTATATGTTATTTATTTTGCATACAGATAAATTCGATTAGTGTGTGGAAGCCAATGGAGAGAGAAAGAACTTCATGGAGAGGGAAAACTGTGACGAAGCTAATGGAGAGGGAAATCCGACGAGAAGAAGAGGTGACGAAGAAGCTGAGGAAAATAGAGAAAAGCGTGAGGAAGAAGCCGTGGTGGTGAAGGAAAAAGCTGTGAGCATGAGGAAGAGGCCGTGAGCCCTGAGGAAGAAACCGTCAGCATGAGGAAGATAGAGGAATAGGTAAAAACCAGTATTCGTGAGGAAAACATAGTAAATGGGTTAACGGGAGGGGTAAGAGCTAAAGGTGAAAACGAGGTAAAATTGCCTTTAACTCTTCTTTTTTTGGGTTGGGGGTTTTAGTAAGAAAATTTAATTTTTTAAAAAGAAGAGTAAAGAAATGTTAAGGTGGGGTAGAAGCTCTAAAAAGATCATTTTGGGGCTATTTCTAATTTTCCCAATTTTCTATATTTTTACCTATTTTCCTTATTTGAATAATTTTAGTAATTATTTTATTTATTAGAACAATCCGACTGGTCCAACCGAATCAATGCCTCCATTGGTTTGATCACCAGTCCGGTCCTAACAATATTGAGAGTGATCCATCATGATATAAACACGACGCCTAGGCCTTGTGTTGATCCGGCATGGTATCGGTCTTTGTACGCCCACAGGATGGGTTTTGTTGCTCATTTGCTCCTCTCTCTCAAAAGAGGGGCAACTGCAAAGTAATGGGCTTCACGTTGCGTGGCCAGGGTGATCGGATGTCACAACATGATGTTTTGAGCAGTGACTTAAAAATTTGTGACCTTATCCGAAATTGGGCGATTCAGATTGAGATTTACCATCACAGTATTAGATATGGTAAAAATCTAGGATTTAGTTTATTCAAAATAATAGACTCGCTGATCTTTTCGCAGAACCATTGATTCTTCACTGAGTCAAGCGAAAAAAAAAAAAAGATGACAAGTTTTCTCCTAAATTATTTTTTTAAAAAATTTGACACACAAATTATCGATTAGGCTGATTTTTCTAATTTGATTCCCCAATCCGACACGGGCACGGTCTGTGATCGATTTGAGTCACCAATCCATTTTTTTAACCCTGGGATTTGAGTTTTATTTTCAGTATGGGTTGAAAACTCCTTCGCCGGTAGGTTTAGTATCACGGGCCAATGAACAGGCGAACTGGTACCCTTTTTGGTGCCTTCAAGTTACTACACCAGCAGGACTAGTGAAAACTAGTCATGGACTTGTGGACCAACTAGCCCATTATACCGACCAGTTGATTGGTCAATAACTAAACTATGTGGTAAAAAAAAAAAAAAAATTATAAAAATAAAAACCTCACATGAACAATTTTATATTTTAATTATTTAAAAAATACCTAAAACACATGCGACACTTAAAAGAGTTGCAAACAAGTAAAATAATAATAAATCATATGCGATAAATTTGGGTGAGTCTTGACCATTTATGTTTGGTTATTTGGAAGGTAGGCTCTAAACAACCAAATTAGAGCCCACCTCAAAAATTTCGCTAGGTGCTGTTTATTTTTTTGAAAGATATTTTCTGAAAAGTTGAATATTTTTAATTTTTTTGAAAAGTTGAATGTTTTGTTCTGGAATGCTTAATTAAGTTTGAGTTACTGTGTTTGATAACCTGTTGAAATGTTAAAAAGGTTATGGGTATTGTGTTTGATAATATATACATATCTATGGGTTACGTTAGGGTACTCACACTATAGAGTAATTTATCATTTGTGAGCACCCTATCACCGTTGGGTCTATATGAAGCTGTAAGCTAGTGGGCCTACACCAATATATATATATATATATATATATATATATATATATAAATTGGGATTAGCCCACTAGCTCATATGAATATACGAGCCCAACGTTTGAGATTGAATCTGGGCCGATCTAACGATCATGTACGCTCGTTAGTGTTCGAATTTTAGTTTTTTTTTTACAAATTCAAATCACATGAAATTTCAGGCGTGTGTTCATAAAAAATAGGTGAATCTTCGAAAAATATCAAAAAAATGTTTTATATGAAAAAATTGATCAAAATACCCCCAAAATGTTTCGAGAGGTATTTTGGTCATTTTGTTTTTCACGGATAATTTTTTTTTATATTTTTATTAGGTGTGCATTGATGAGAAGAACACATACTTAAAATTTCAAGTGATTTGGATCTATATAAAAAAAAAATTAAGCATTATTAGACATCCGTGATCGTCAGATCGGCCCAAATTCAATTTGATCCGTTAGACTCATATGTGTTAGTGGACTAATCCCAGATTTTTCCATATATATATTCACTAAAAGATGTTGTTTTGATGCCCATATATTCTCAAATTGATCTTCTCAACATCAAGATGTATGTAATGAGAAAAAACAAGATATATGGACATAAGAAAAAAATGAATTTCAAATTTAACAAATAGTATATTTTGTAATACATTTATAAACAATGGATTTTTTAGATTTTCAAGTTTTCATAGACCCGCTCGATCTACGAGCTTTAAAAAAAAATTAAAATACTGAAATCACATTGGCGCTTTTGCTTTGATTACAAACCGCACCTCAAGGGTCAGACCTTGAGGTGTTAGGGGGGGTTTCGTCCTTATGCTTTTTATAAGGGGCATTTAAGAAATTCGAAATATTCAGGGTTTATCAGTTTTAGGTTTTGTAGGGGTTTTCAGGATTTCCTGTGTCTGTGTCTGTGTCTGTGCTGAGTGTTTCCAAGGCAGGAGAATGGCTACACGTTTTGGTTACGCTGCTTCGAGGTCGCTAATGGCTGCCGCAAGATCTTCTATCCGCTCCGCAGCCCCTCGCGCGCCTCGTCTTCGCTCCCCTCCAATCACCACATTACCCAACTTCCACCGCCGTCGCCTCCCCTTAACTTCCAGGTCAACATTCATCCCTCTATTTCCTTCTATCGTATCCCCTTTTATAATTTTATTTTCCATGTAGTATTTCTCTATGTGGTTTTTATTTTCTACTAGGATCTCTTTCCAATCAAGGTGCTTTAATTTTCATCTATCTTCTTTCCTTATTGTTTCCCTTTTCTGTCTAGCACCTCTCATTACCTGCATCATTCCCTCTCTTTTTTTGTGAATTTTTTACCACCTAGCATCTCCCTTTCTTTGCATTTTTCTGTCTCTACATGTCTCTTTCTCTACAAGTATGGTTAGTTGAATTGGAATAATTTAATCAGGTGGATGGGGGAATTGGGCTGCCTACAGTCAATGGTGCCGCTCCACGATGTGATTGCTTCTGCTCGACTGACCTCTCATCTCTCTGTCAACACCCGCGGCTGCTGTGAGCTGTCTCAGGGTATCCTTCTCCCTCGCACTTGTCCTGATCGCTAGTATTTTCTTTGTGAGTTTCTGTTTTTTTTTGTCCGTTTTTCTTCTTCATTTCCTACAGTACAACTTTGTTTTTCCTCTCTTTCTCTCAGTCAGGATTAGCCTGAGTCAGCTTTTCCTCTCTTTCTCTCAGTCAGGATTAGCCTGAGTCAGCTCGGTGAGTTTGTCGTTGGTCCGCCATAAACTACATCGAAAAGTTCTTGAAAAATGCCAAAAATATGGAAAAATGTGAAATTGGCAGGAAATAACTGAAAGAATAATTGTCTGTATATTGAAGGAATTGTATACGTAGAACTTATATTGAGGGTTTTAGTTGCCAGGGTGCCAAGCATACATTCACTGGTCCTAATTTGAATTGCATAGTGATAATGGTTTTCATGGGGCACTCAAAATTACAGTGATAATACAAAAGAACTCAATCTGCAACCCATATGATTAACTGGCAGAGAGGCTCATAGTCATCCTGATCATGTTCATCCCGATTATCTTGTTCATCCGTATTATCTCCATAATGGTTCAGGAATGACTTTGATGGTTGGGTATAGTGTTCGCAAAATTGAACTGGAATGGTTAACCGGACATGGGCCAGGAAGCGGTTTAACCGGCCTAACCGGTAAACCGACCAATTAAACCGTTCTAACCAGGCAAGTCTCGGGTGGTCAAAAACGTGTTGAAAAAAATAAAAAAAAGACATAAAAAAAAATCTACTAAAATATGAAAAGCATATAAAGAATGATTAAAACCAAACACATTTAAATGAAGTTGAAAATTAATTAAAAAAATGAATTTTAACGAATCGACTTGTGCCTAGGGGTATTTTTAAAATTTTCTAAAAAATATGAAAAACTATAAAAGTGACTATTAATGACCAAAACAATTTTTAATCTTTACCATAATGCAAAGAATATTAATAAAATGCATTACGAACCATTCCTTATTTTTGAGAATTTATATACATTTTTTTTTTTTTAAAAAAAAATACCGGCGGCTCACCAAAACCACTCAAAACCGGAACCAGCACTGGCCGGTTCCGATCTAACCATGTGGTTAGCAGTTAGATTGCCCAGTTTTTTCAATAGTGGTTGGGTAGCTCGGTTAGTCCTTCTTATCCCAAAGTTCCAAAGGCTAGTATATCCCTCATGCTTGTTCTCACCTTTTTGCTTATGCTCGCTCTTAGGTGGCCTCATCATCTTCACTATTTTCTCCTCCATCTTGTCTTTGCTCCTTAACTTGTACCTCTTCAATTCCACCTTCCTCTCATTCCTTTTCGATGGGTCTCCAACTTCTTCAACTACCCATAGAGACGTTTCTCCTTCATATTTGCCAACCACTCCTTAGCTGGATCTCTACAAAGATGTCATCCAAACTATGTCGCTTGTATTCTTCACACTAGGCTTCATACCATGTTAGACATAGATGGATATCGGTATGGCATGGACACGGCTAGATTCTCCATTCCACATAATCATGAAGAGCGTATTCTTTAGACACATCTCTGGCACATTTGGATACTTCTCAGTATATGGTACATTCTTCTCCCAAAAGAATCCTTTAATATAATATAATAGTTTGAAATTTTATTTATTTTAATATTAATATATTTTATTAGACTTAAACATGGAGAACATGTATGCATTTCAAACCTCTAGTTTGAAAAATCTATAATCTCCTATCCATACTATAGTCAGATGGTTATGGTATGCATTTCAAATCTCTGCTTCATAAACCCTATTATATCCTGCCTATACCACAGGAAAATATTTGTGCGTTTCTCATTATAACTTTGCTAGATTCTTGGATTTTGGGCAGTTCTTCTATGAATATTATGTGCCTTAGATATTCTCCAAAAAAAATAAATTAATAGTAATGTGCATTAGATTCTTGCATCTTTTGTGCAGCAGTACATCCAATTTGCATTCACTAACATTTTGATTTCTTAATCAGTCATGCTTGTCATATTGCTGCATGCACATATATACATGTGTGTGTGTGTGTGTGTGTTGTTGAATCCTTTTTTTTTTTTCAAGGCTTGAAGAATTTGATACTTTGTATTGGTGTCACACACTAATAGCCATACTCATGTACATGCAACATAGAATCCAAGTTGATTGGATTGTAGTCCTTAATTTCCCTCATAATGAGAAGGACTAGAAGACTCGACCTCGTACTCGTACTCGTGCACCCTAAAATTGAGTTCAATGGTTGGCTACAATGTTTTAAAAAGCTCGAGGTGGTCTTGACACCTAGGTGACTAGGGGGCGCTGGCTGCCTAGGAGTGATGTGGTCGCCTAGGCTGGCACCTTCGTTTTAAGGTGCTCCAAACACACACACATGTAAGTGTATAAGCAATAAACTCATAGTTTCATGAGAAATCCATTCCTTTGGGTAACTGAATGAGGAAGCATGTTTCTTCTGCTGCAACCTTGGAAGCAAGCTACCTTCTTTGCCAAACTCAAATTGCTGCTTCTAATTCTCCTCAGCCTATGTTTTAAGATTCCTGGGCCATGTCCGAAGATCAAGGTCAGCCGAATACTTCGAATGTTTGAATTGTATATTCTATATAAAGTGTATGTATAATCAATTGAACGTTAGAAATATGAAAAGGAAAGTTCTAGAGTTTGAAAGCAATTAGGTAAATGTCAGATCAAATTTTACCCATGTAAGATGTAACAAAACAAAGTGTCAATGTAATAGCATTTCCAAATCTCAGTGCCATATGCTTGAATCCACAACGGTTGGTTCCATGTATAAACTCAAGAGTACTATGACATAAGTACAAATCCACAATATAAAGAAAGGGACACAAAAGAAGCATCAAACAAAGTAGAAAATGAAATCCTTTATGTTTAATCCTCATCTTTTTCAATTGCTTTGACTAGTACCCCAATCCAAACGTTATCATAAGATTCATCACCCTTCTCTATGTACTCGCCCTCCTCCCTGTCTCTCTTGAATTGGTTGCCTCTTGCTCCTCTATCTCCCTCCTCTGTGTACTGGGCTTAGCGGTCGATCTAGTGGTCTTCGTAAGGTCGGTAGGGTCTCCCTTCAACTCTATCCCAAGTCAAAGCCTTTAAAGGGATGTCCTCTTCTGCTTCAGGATCAGTCAACAGTTCCCTGCCATCATTTATGTCATTTATAGCGGTGGGATTCTACTTGTCACACTCATTGAAGCGCATTAAGCTCTGATTATACTGGGAGATGACTAAATCATTAAGTTTATTGTTCAAGCCTATTCCTTTCCTTTCCTTTAGATGCACCTATTGGAATGTGAAAAATGAATGAGCTAGAATTTAGAGAGTTAAAGCTCTACATTTAACTTATAATTGAAGCATGAAGTTGTCAGTTATAATCATGAATTATAACTCATTATCTTAAAAATTGAGAAAAAGTCAAGTATCGAAGCCATTTTTCTACTTAGGCAGCTGATTGAGAAGTTTAGATCGTAGGAAAAAGACCTCCACATAGTCTTTATTGATTTAGAGAAAGCATACGATAGTGTACCTAGATATTTAATTTGGTGGGTGTTGGAAAAAAAAGGAGCCACTAGAGGCTATATTGACATAGTGAGATATATGTTTGAGGGAGCGCTAACTAGCGCGGTAGACAATCGCGGAGAGAACAATGAGTTCTTAGTGACAATGGGCATGCATGAGGGGTCAACACTGAGCCCAATAGTTAGCGCTGAGCACTAATTATTGTTTTGCTTATGGACGAGTTATTGAGGAACCTACAAGATGCGATACTGTGGGGTATGTTGTTTGTGGATGACATAGTTTTGATCAATGAGATTAGAGGCGGTATCAACCCAAAGTTAGAACTTTGGAGGGATGCTCTAGAATCTAAAGGTTTTAAAATTAGTTGACTAAGATAAAATATATGGAATGCAAGTTTAGTAATAATAGGAGTGGAAACGAGGAAGTAGTTAAGATTAATGGTTAAGAAGTACCTAAAAGAGATTGTTTTTGATATCTAAGGTCCATAATCCATGAGAATGGAGAGGTTGAAGAAGATATTGCTCATAGAATTAGGGTTGGGTGGGCAAAGTGGAGATGTGCATCTGGAGTTTTATGTGATTGGCTCACACCATTAAGACTAAAGGGGAAGTTTTATAGGACGGTTGTAAGACCAGCCATGCTTTGTGGGATGAATTTTTGGGTTGTCAAGAAACAACATATTATAAAATGAGTGTAGTTGAGATGAGGATGTTGAAATGATAAGTAGTAAGACAAGAAACGATAGAATTCAAGATGAATACATATGAGGGAACTTAGGTGTGGCTTCAATAGGTGATAAGATGAGAGAAAGTAAACTTAGGTTGGCTGACCATGTGTAGCGTAGACCTAATACAGGACCAGTTAGGAAGTGCAATTTGGTTCAAGGCGAGGGCTCTAAAAAGGCAAGGGGAAGGCCCAAACTGACATGAATAAAAGTAGTGAGAAAAGATATGCTGACTTTTTCTCTTACTGAGGATATAGCCCTTGATAGAAGAGAATGGAGGAATGAGATTCATGTTGCCGATCCCAAATAATTGGGATAAAGCTTGGATGATGATGATGATGATATTGACTATTAGTAGTATGAAATGTTATAATCTTTGCAAATACTTCCTTAAGTGAATTGCTCGCAAACAAATGAGCTACATGTCAAGTTCACTATGCGGATGGGCACTAGTCGCATGTGGTCTCCACCCTTCGCTTGCTTTGTTTAAATTTTAAAGTTTTGCAAGTTTGTAATTAATAAAAATCAAACAGTATGCAAAATTCTGGAGGAGCCCGCTGTCCACCTCTTACCAGTGCTGTGACTAGATGTGGGTTATGCCCTAATCAGTTGTCCAAATTTTTGGAGTGTATTTCTCGCCCCCATTCCCTTTCTTGTGGTTATTCCTTTGGTGTTCCTATGCTTTGGCGATGATATGTGCCATCCTGCTCAAACAGAGCGACAAGCTATCTGAAAGTCAAAATCCAGTGTTGAAAGGGTGGAGGATTGCACCTTATCTTCGATGATTTCTTTGGCTAGAATCCTTCCTTAGTTTCAGTCTTTAACTTCGTTGGACTTCTTGTGCAGTTGGCTGGCTATCCTATTCAGCAGATCAAAATGACCGTTCCTTGATCCCTCCTAGGGCTTCCATCAGAGCCAGAGGTGATGAAGCGTAATCGTAACTGCTGTTCCTTTGGATACACCAGACCAGCGGGCATTGGGAGTCTTTTGAGAAATAGCAAGACTCATATTATTTTGTCATTTTCTGGCCCGATTGGTATTGCCAACTCCATGTTGGTTGAGGCACAAGCGTTACTAGAGGGGCTTTTCTGTTTGTTTTGATGGAGATTCACAAAGCATAATCTTGTGGGTAAGTAGAGTTTCCCAATCCACTTGAAGAACAGATCCTATTTTTGACCTAGTTTTCAAGTTCATGAGGACACAAGTGGTAGTCAAGTATTCCTGGAAGGAGACATATGTTGAGCTTATGCTTATCAAAAAAAGCGGCTAAGTTTGGCTATAACTCACCCTCTGTATGACTTCATAGTCCAATTTTGCCTCTTTTGGTGCACAAACAAGAGTCTTTTTGGTCGTGTTCTCAAATACAATTCCATGTGATATGTACATTTAAATTAACTAATTTAACAGAATGTGGTCAATTTCTTATAAAGAATGCGTAAATAACCAAATTTTTGGCGGGTTTCTTTTTTCCTTGAATAGGACCAGTTGTCTAGGTGGTTGATTGGTTCCAAAATCATTCAATGAATCACAATCATGCTGCTGACTTTTATCCAAGTTGGTTTGAGACTGCTAGCTTCCATCTGAGAACAACTAATGTTGGACTTGGATGGTCCACCCCCTGTGGATTGGTAGACCTTATTGACATTTTATAAATTTTTCTGTGTGGAAGCAAATAAGATAAATCTTTTTCGATAAAGTTGGTTGGTTAAAATCCTATCTAATCGTAAGAAAATAAATCCATGTGGCTAATTGGATTGACTTATAACTTGGGTAGTTTAAGCATGTCGGGAGGGAATCAAGGTAGCAGAGGCCTCTATAAAAGGGATTACTGAGAGAGAGGAACAAGGTTTTTCTTTTTTTTCAAGAAAAAGGGCATGTTTCTCGTTCTCTCTTCTTTTAGTTTTATCCTCTCTCGAAAGTGCCACCACGTCCCCTCTCCTCCCTTGTTCCAGAAACCCTAAGCAATGGAATATTCTCTTGGGAAGCGACAATGGATTTGTGTTGTGAAAGATAACCTCCTGGTTCTAGTAATCGAAGAGGGAGATCTAAGGAGGCAAGATTGAATTCTTGAACGGGAAGGAATCGACATGAAATGGGAGATCAACATTGAATCCTCGTATTTATATTTTTATTGTTGTTTCCCCTCTATTGGGACACCCCACTGTGTTTAACAATTATGGATAGTGGCTATACAAGCTACCCAGATTATATAAATATTAGTTAATAAAAACAGAAGCAGAACAATTGAGCAATACCAGCCATACTAAAACTCAAATGTTGGAATTTTTTTCCCCGCCTTCTTGAATGTTAACATGGAACTGCTTGGAAATGGAAATCTAGATGTATTGTGCACCTGCTCTGACCACCTGTGTGTAGGCCCCATTCCCAACCCAAATATTCGATTTTGATTGCTAAACCCACTAGTCATGTTTCATTGCTAAAACTTGGCATGTCTTCTACAATTAACTTCCATGCTGTTATATTTAATATTAGTACACGAGGAACAGTTCAGACTTCACATGAAGGCATGCGTTCATTTTGTTTTTTTTTTTTCATTTTTCAGTTGTGTATGGGTGCATATAAATGTTAAGGAACTTAGGATTCTGTTTGTGACATTAATATTTGTGCAGGTACTTGAATCGTGGTGGGATTGACAAGACAGTCACTGAGACAGTCGTCTTGCCATTGTCATGGGTAATTCATCTAAGGGCGCTTTAATTCCTTAGTGTGAGCTCTTCCAGAATCATGAGAATGTGGACAAATTTTGCTCAGTTTTTGCTTTGAGTTTGCTTTGACTTTTCCTTGTATCTCGAAAGGTTGATTCAGTTGATTTACCAGAAATCATACTTCTTTATTTTTTATGCAATAACTGATCTTGAACATAGTGTACCGCCCCTAATTGAACATGATGATGCAAATCATGCTTGTCTTTATACGAAACAAAGAACAAACTCGCTTAACATGTGAATAGTGTATTTTAATGGTATGAAGCTGTCTCAAGCTATTATTTTGGATTGATGAGGCACAAAACGACGTCAACACAAAGTTTGACCTTTGGAGGGATGCTCTAGAATCCAAAGGTTTTAAAATCAATCAGATTAAGACAGTATATGGAGTGCAAGTTTAGTAGTAAGGAAGTACAAAAAGACCGCACTTTCGATATCTTGGGTCGATAATCTTTGAAAATGGAGAGATCAAGGGAGATGTTGCACACAGAATTATAGCTGGGTAGGCAAAGTAGAAATGTGCAGCTGGAAGTTTATGTGATTGCCGCATACCAAAGAGGCTGAAGAGCAAGTTCTATAGGACAACGGTGAGACCAGCTTTGCTCTATGGGGCGAAATGTTGGGTGGACAAAAAACAATATGCTCATAAAATGAGTGTAGCGGAGATGAGGACGTTGAGATGGATGAGTGACAAGACAAGAAGGGATAGAATTCGAAATGAATATATTCGAGAAATTTAGGCATGCCACCAATATGTGATAAAATGAGAGAGAGTAGACTTAGGTGGGCTGGCCATGTGTGGCTCCAACTGAGTACAACACCAAGTACAACACCTGTTAGGAGGTGCGAGTTAGTTCAAATGGAAGGATGAAAAGGGCAAGGGGTAGAGGCCCAAAAGGACGTGGTTGGAAGTAGTTCGAAAAGATATGAGGACTTATGGCCTCATTGAGGATATGACTTTTAATAGAGCAGAATAGAGAACCAGGATTCATGTAGTTGACCCCAATTAATTGGAAAAAAGCAAAAATGATGATGATGATGATGATGATGATGATGATATGAATTGCCAGAAGACCTCAAGTGCTACCTGAGCAAAGATTATGGTGCACTTAGGTATTTTATGGTGTTGAAGTGGTAAAGTCTAGGAAGGGATAGTTTTCTCTAAGGAATTAATATGTGCTGGATCTATAAACTAATAGATTCCTCTATGGGAGCCAATCATCGACTCGATGCAAAAATGGGAGAGTTGTTAAAGGACCTTAGCCAATATCAAAGGTTAGTGGGCAAGCGATAGGGATCGCTCCTAGCCATTAAAGGATCAACAATATGCCGAAAGATGATTCATTTGAATCGTATTTGGAGCATACTCTTTCTCTAATGCTTTTGTATATTGCAATAAAGCAGCTTATTATGCTTTGGGAAGTTGTTTAGTTTGAAATTGTAAATAAAGCTGGCTTTGATCAATAAAAAATATCCCCCTTGTATTTGTTACCCTTCATTCCGAGGTGCTCTTTTTTTATTGATTTTGTATAGCTATTCTTTGTGTGCCCATTTTGAACTTTATTTTGATGATGTTCGATTTTTTTTTTGATAAAACTTCTAATTTCTTAAACATATTTATTTTTAATTAAAAAGTTGTGGTATGAGCTCTCAACATAGCGATCTTCCTGTATTTGTTGATCTGTTGCCCACTCTCGGCTTTCATCCATGTCCCAACCATCACCAACCGCCCAATATTAGCTGATATTGGGGTTAAATTTTAGTTATCAAGACTCCTTATTGTGTTTACTAAGCACCCGTCTTGATATCAGGCACTGTGCTTCTTATGCTCACAAGTTCAGTTCTACAACTTATGCTTGCTTTTTCTGAAAGGAGTGCAGCTTCAAGCATTTTTATTATCTTGTGGGGTAGATGATGAAATCAAAATTCAATAATATCCTCGGTTCTCATGATTTATTGTATGGCATTGTTGTATCCATTTGGTGGAAGATATTTCGTACCTTATCAAAGGTTTCTAAAACCCTGACCCCTGCCTGCAGTTCAATATCAGAGGCTAAAAACCTAAAACCCTTCTCTCCTCATGGTTTTTGTGGTTTTTTTTTTCATCTGGCATCTCTCTTTGCCTGCATCTTTCCCTTTCTCTGATTTTTGTATTTGGTTGAGCATCTCTCTTTGCATTGTTCTCTCTCTTGAAGGTTGGTTGAATTGGAATAGTGTAATGAGGTGGGGTGGGGAATCAGGCTGCCTACAGTCAATGATGCTGCTGCATGATATGGTATGACCACTGCTGCTCGGTTGAGCTCTCATCTCTTTGTCAACAGGCGTGGCTGCTGTGAGCTCTCTTAGGCATACCCTTCTCCCTTGCATTTGTCACTATTGCTGGTACCAAATGCTCATTTTTTTTGCCTATGAGATTGAACCTCATGCAGGAGTCAAGGTTTTAAAAACCTTGCATAAGGCACGAAATGCCAATATTTTTTGCCAAGTGGACACGACATCCCTGCATATGAATTGTGAGATTTGATGATGCTTTCGAATATTGATTTCGTCATCTACCCCACAAATACTAATATACATGCTTTGAGATTACATTTTCCCCGTTAGGTTTGAGGAGAAGGTACCAAATATGCTTAATGCAGCACTTCTTTTGAGAGAAGGAATGCATAAGCTACAAAACTAAACTTGTGCGTGTACAAAGGGTACTAGTGTTTGGAAATTGCCTCAGCCATGTACTTGGCCCTTGGCCGAGGAGCACCTCGGCCGAGTTATATGCACCCAAAAAATGAAAAGAAAAAAGGTCAAAAAATTTGTTAGAAATATTTAAATTTTAGAAAAAGTTTAAAGGGTTAACAGAAATCACTAGAAGACTAAAGAAGATGAAAAAATCTATAAAGGGTGCGGTTTCTATAAGGTTGCGACCTCAAACAATCCAATTAAGGTGCACCTTAAAATTTTATCATAACATGTAATTTTGTTGTAAAATATTCTT